CCCCCCTTTTGTTGTATTTAAAGCTTTTTGTAGTTTTAATTCTACTTCATCAGATAGCAGGATCATAAATCTCCTTTCTTAATGTTTTCATTTGTCCCGAATACCTTTGCTTGTTTTATTTTTTTTTAAGATTTTATTTATTTATTTGAGAGAGAGAATGGGAGAGAAAGCATGATCAGGGGGAGGGGCAGAGAGAGAGGGAGAAGCAGGCTCCCCGCTGAGCAGGGACCCCACTGAGGGACTCAATCCTGGGACTCCAGGATCATGACCTGAGCTGAAGGCAGTTGCTTAACCAACTGAGCCACCCAGGCACCCTGTCTTTTTATTTTTAACCTTTCTGAGTCACTTTAGATGTGTCTCTTGCATAGAGCTTATACTTAGATCTTGCTTTGTGAGCCAAATTGAAAATCTTTTTCATTTAATACATGAGTTAAGCTCATTCATATTTATTGATATCACTGATATTAGTCTTTTCTCTGTCATATTATAATTTTTATGTGTACAATTTTTTTAAGATTTTTTTTTCATTTTTATTTATTCATGAGAGACAGAGAGCGAGAGAGAGGCAGAGGGAGAAGTAGGCTCCCAAGGAGCAGGGAGCCCGATGCGGGACTCGATCCCAGGGCCCTGGAATCGTGACCTGAGCTGAAGGCAGATGCTTAACCATCTGAGCCACCCAGGCACCCTATGTGTACAATGTTAATCTGTGTTTCTTTCTCTATGTATTGTGTTTGATTTTTATTTCTTACATTTCTTTGGATATTTTCTTAATGCTCCTAGTCCCTGCTTTCTTATTTAACCTTCTATTCTCTGGTTTGTCTGTTTTTAATGGTATATTTTACTCTTCCATCTATTCAATTATCAATGAGTTTATTCTGCTTTCTTCTTTCCCTTTCCATTTCTTAAACATTTTTTTTAAAGATTTTATTTATTTATTTGACAGAGAGACAGCGAGAGCAGGAACACAAGCAGGGGGAATGGGAGAGGGAGAAGCAGGCCTCCCGCTGAGCAGGGAGCCCGATGTGGGGCTCGATCCCAGGACCCTGGGATCATGACCTGAGCCGAAGGCAGATGCCTAACGACTGAGCCACCCAGGCGCCCAAACATATTTTTAATTGCATTATTTTCTACACTGTCAGCATTTCTAATGTTTATGTTATTCTTCCACTCTTCTTCTCACCTTTGCTATAGTCTTCAATTAAATATATTAAATGCTTACTGTAGATCTCTTCCTGAAGTTTTCTCAGTCAGCTCTTGGGTGAAAGTTATCGCCTTGTAGATTCTTTGAGAAGGTTCATGAATACAGTATTCCTGGAGGTCCTGCATATTTCAAACTGTATCTGTCTATAACTTTGCTACTTGAAGGACATCTTGGTTGAGTGTAAAATCCTGGCTTTCACTTTCTTCTCTTGAATTTCTTCAAAAGCCTGCTATATTTTTATGTTGCATGGTGTGTTCTCTTGACAAATTTGATGTCACTCTCATTCTCCTACACTTCAGTTTAGTCTTTATGCCTGCAGGCTATGAGAGTATTTTCTTTGATAGTTTTATTCAAATACATCTTTGAGTTGATTGTTCTGATTCAGTTTTCCCAACTACTGATGGGCCTTTTCAATATGTATACTCCGATCTTATTTTGTTGCCAGAAAAATTTCATAGTTTATAGTTTCAATTATTGGTTCTGTTCCACTGTTTTGTTTTCTTCAGAGACTCTAGTTGGGTCTCTGAACATGTTGGGTCTTCTTTGCCTGTCTTCCATTTCAACCACTTTCTCTCTAAACTTTCCTACTTTTTTTCTCATTTTTATTCTCTTAATTGTTCTGCCTTTTTAAAATTCTACTTATTAAATTTTCATTGGCATCTTGTGTTTTTTTAGCCTTTATCTGTGAAATGATTTTTTGTCTTTTTCTTTTGTTTCTTTCCTGAGTTCAGTCAACTGTCTTCCTTCCTTCCTTCCCTCCTCCCTCCCTTCTTCCTTTTCACTTCTAGTCTTATTTGAATTTCTGATTCAAAGTTGCTTTTCATGGGGTACCTGGGTGGCTCAGTCAGTTAAGCTCTGACTTCAGTTCAGGTCATAATCCTGGGGTCCTGGGATTGAGCCCCAGGGAGCCTGCTTCCTCTCCCCCTGTTCCCCACCCCACTCATGCTTTCTCTTCCTCTCTTTCCCAAATAAATAAAATCTTTTTTAAAAAGTGCTTTTCATATCTCCAGATGAATGTTAGAAGATATTTAAATCAGTTTGGAGTGTTGTATTAGTTTTCTTCTTCATTTTTAGGTTTTTTTTTTTTTGGTATGATTTTCATCCATGAAAATGTCCAATTCTCATTTCTATTTTCTTCCAGTAATAGGTTTGTGTGGAGACTGCTTTTCTCTATTTTATTTCCTGGGCAGGTTTTGTCTTGTAATAATTGACAGTAATCCTAGCTCAAGAGAGTTCTTTTCTGTCATTGTACCAAAGTTCAGTTTCTTTAATGAGTAGCACTTTTTTTTTTTTAATTAGTGGTGAAGAGATTTGCATGTCCTTCAGTTTTGGGGTTCTCTTTTGTCTTGCAGGGGCACAAGTTTATCCCTCTTGCTTCTTTTTCCCTTCACTATCCAGTCTCTGACAGAGATTGATAAGTCTCTCCCTTCCTTCTTGCCCAAGAGTAGTGTCACACTGACTGATACCCCCTCAGTATCCATGACTTTTACGTCCCTTCCCTGGGGCAAATACTCTGATCTACCAGGACACACTTAATATTTTTGCACTTGTGATGTATTTTCTCTTCAGGGGTTGGAGGGGGGATGATTTTAAGTCTATCTTAGGCTCTTTGTTTCCTCTTCTCTCTTCACAGTTTTTCCAGATCCCACCCCATTCCTGTATTTGCTCTCTGCAAAGGCTTATAGTGGGACCTTAAGAGATATCTCTTCCAGAATTTGGAGTTTACTTTTCTACTTAAGTTTGTAAATTCCTCTGTCTTCCTGTTATTTTGGAAGCATTACATTTATGTGGTTTTATTGTTCTGGTTGATTTCTACAGTTGCAAGAAAGCTATGTGAGGAGATTTGATTTAGATAGCCACCATTATCCTCAACTATCTCAAAGTTCTCCACCATATATGTCTTCACAAGCCATTTAGGTATAATGTGGAGCAGATCTGAGAACTTTGGGTAGGGGTAGAGGATAGGAAAGAAGGCATTTAATTTAATACAAATGATTTCGACATGATTCTATTTGTGTAGAGATAGTCATCAAACAGATAGTTGGTCTGTACCTCAGGTAAGATATTAGGAATTACTGCTTCTTACTCAGGTAGAGTCCTAGTAAGCTGGAATTAGAGCCATAAATCCCTTTGAGTAATTTCTGCCTTGGTCTAACTCCTGCCTACATGCTCAGACTCATCTTCCATGAACATGTAAAGGCTTTAGAAAACAGATACTATTGAGAGGTTACCAGATAAAGTACTATTTTCTGGTGCTTTATTTTATTATATTCAGAAGTTTGATTGATGGGACTGAGAGATCTAAATAATAGTCTGAGAACTCAATCACTATGAAGCCATTTGGGGAAAAAATTGTAGATCAATAGATCAAATCATCTACCTAGAGGGAAATAAAATAATACTGACAAATACCATAATTAAGCTTTTTGGCATATTTGTAGCTTATTCCAGTAACCATAGGGCTTATCAAGCAGGTTAAATTCATAAATTCACAAAGATTTATACCAATAACTTTCTAAAGCAAATTTCTAGTATCTACTGTTTTCTTCCCTATCACCTATAACTAGGCTAAAGAACAAATGTATGCATGTTTGTATCTAAACACATTTAAGATAATAATATCTATGTAACAATTCAGTATAACTAATAGAGTTTTCAGAACATGATCTGTGATGAATTTTCCATGTTTTTAAAGTGTTTTTGCTTCCATTTTCTCCCTTTAATATGAGAGAGAATAGAATCTCCAAAAATATATATATAGCATTGTAGAATAGTTTAGTAATAGTCATTTACCCAGGTAAACACTTTTCCCAGTTGTGTATTTCTATGGTGGCAAGAAAGTGTAGATGATTTCTTTCTCCATTGAGACAATCTGTGGATGGAAAAGATGTTAGTGAAGTGAAAAAGAAAAGAAAAGATAAAGGGTACTCATTTGAAACATGAGAAATTTATAAAGTGGTCAACTCTTTCACTTGACATTTTATTATTACTAAGGCCTGGATTGTGCATTCTTTTGAATTAACTGAGAGGCAGTATAGCGTAGTGATTCAAATTGTGATCTCTGGAACCTGACTGCCTGGGTTCTAACTTCATACTAGCTTCATTTTGTCTTGGTTTTATCATCCACATAATTGGATAAAAATAGCACTTCATAAAATGGTTGTACACATAAGATGTAATTTTCATAGGACAATGTTACTTAAGTGCTAACTATTATCACTATTAGATTATATTAAGATTCTGCTGGATAAAGTGGGGTGGGATTTTTGAGACTTATTCGAATTTTTATATTTTTAATTCCTAGACTGATTTATTTAATAATGTTGGCCTTATTTGTTATTTAATATGTAATCCCAATCACCATGAAATTCACAAGTGGGTGAGGCAGGACAGAAAAATTAAATATTTCCATGGAAATGAAGATAAAAGAAAGCATTCATGAAAAATTAGAGAGACCTGTCTTCTTTTTTGTGCTTTTTATTTTTTGGGGGAGCTAAGAATTTAAGGACCTGTTCCTTCATACATATAAAATCTAAGAGCAATAGATGATGCGCCAGAAAGATGTCACTGTTTGTAATGGCAGCTTTGTTCCACAGTCCACATCTACTCTTTCTTCTCTCCACCAGGTGGAAGTATAGCACTTTGTACATGTCTTGTTCTCGCGTCTTCCTAGTTCCCCTAGTCCAAGGGGTGAGGAGGGAAAAGATAAACACTGAATGCAAGAGTATGAAATGTTCCTTCAGCTGGATTTTACAGCACCATATTTTCATCATTTACTTGAGGATAATGCAAATAGACTAGATAATGTTCCTTTCCACAAATTCTTTAATTCAACTGAGGTAAACACAGACCCATTATAAGAAATATATTAAATCTTTGCAGTAGCTGGAAGAACCACATTAAGACAACAGAATTACCAAAATAATGTTCAAATATTTTTAAGTGTATTTAAAATTATTTGGTGGAAATAAATCTTTGGCATCCTGAGTAAATCGGTTTTATATATGAGACTGTGAGAACATTGTCCTTGATCACTTGATTAAGCTGAGTCATCTTATTTTCCAGGTGTAACATTGTGCTGCAAGCCAATCAATACAGTAATTTAAGTCCTTTCAACTATAATGGAAAAGTATGAAAAATTAGCTAAGATTGGAGAAGGGTCCTATGGGGTTGTATTCAAATGCAGAAACAAAACCTCTGGACAAGTGGTAGCTATTAAAAAATTTGTGGAATCTGAAGATGATCCAGTTGTTAAGAAAATAGCACTAAGAGAAATACGTATGTTGAAGGTAGGTTAACTTTCTCTGTATATCTATAACATCATGGTATTGGATGAAATATGTATACCAACATTACAATCTGAATGAATTTCAAAGTGATTTTTTTTTTCCTCATTGGACTTAATTTCTTGGTATCAGCAACTATGGAAAATAAATTATTACTTTGGACTTTTGGCAGTTCTGATATTGAAGTACTTCCATTCTGGTTGGTAAATATCCACTGACCTAAGTCCTTTGGCCCAGTGTTTACCCCCCCTCCCCCAGCCTTGGCCTTTCTCTGCCTTACAGCCCTCCCAAATCCTTCTCCCCACAAACCAGCAACTGAAAGAACATCTCCTGGCACAGGAGCCCACAGGACTGGACCCGTGCCGCTGTAGGCATCGATATGGGGCGGTCCTTCCTGCTCTCCGCTGGTTCTCAGGCATATTTAGCATCTGCCCCAGCTATGTATACACATTTTCCACAAAGACTTTGTTAGCTTTTTTTTTTTTTTTTTTTTTTTAATAAACTCTATGCCCAACGTGGGGCTTGAACTCAGGACCCAGAGATCAAATCACATGCTCTACAAACTGAGCCAGCCAGACACCCCTAAAGTTGTTTTTACTCTGAAAGGATTTGACATGTAAGATTCATAAGTCTTCAATGTAATTGTTTTCCTATCCTAGAACTCTCTGGTTTTAGAACCATAAAAGAACTTAGGGATGCTTCCCATCCAGCATCCTTATCTTATCAGAGAGGAAACTGAGGCACAGGACAGCACTTCTCAAACATTAATGTGGGAATTCCCCAGGTGACTTTGCTAAAACACAAAATTCTGAGTCAAAGGTCCGTGGTCAGCCTGAGATTCAGCATTTCCAGCAAACTCCCCAATGGTACAGACGGTGCTTGGTAGACCATACTTTGAGTAATAAAAGTGATTTCCTCAAGAACGCACAGCTGACGTTTACTTTATTTTTTGACGTTTACTTTTGACACGGGTCATCTTTTTTTAGGAAAACCCCAGAAATCAGTTTTAGAGGAATATAATAATTATCATATTATCTGTCCTTTGAAGTATTATTTACAGCAGGTTTCCTCAAACTATTAATAGTTTAAAATACAAGTTAATACACACGGAGTTTTCAAGATTACATCCATCGTAAAAACCGGGTCACTGTTACCTCACAGCCGGCAGAGGGCGCTAGTTAGCCAGCCGGCTTTGTCACAGAGCTAAGCTTACAGGGTGTGTCGGAATGGACTGCGAGTTGTTGTCTAATAAAAGTAATGCTTTTTATCCACCACCTCCCTCCTCCTCATGTCTGCAATGAAGGTTAACGCTCAGGTAGTACCTCCTGGGTCACAATGCCCAAATTTAAGAATGGACTTTCAGGTAAGAAGTAGCCAGATCCCACCTCAGCTTGGTGTCTGGGGATGGTTCTCATGATGTACTTCTTGCCAGTTTCGATATGTTGTCCCCCCCGCACGCCCGGAGCAGATTCCTTCCACAATAAACTTACCTTACCTTCCTCACATCCTCCTGTTACTTAAATGTGATTTGATTTTTGTCCTCCTTATTGCCTATGTTACTTATACAAGTCACTGTTTTTCTGACCTAAGTTAATTTCCTTTGCAAAGGGGATATAAATTCCTTATCTACCCAAAGACAGATTCGACCATGTTAGCTTCTATGAATCCCTTACTCTCCTGGCAAAGCCACTGTTTTCCTTCCATTGTGTGGCTTTCAGGGTCGCACAAAGCTGGCTTACCTGTGTGGCCTGTTTCCTCCACTCTGCCTCTCTGCTCTTTCAGGCAATGGCAAATTGATTTTGTGCTTTAGACATATTTAGACATATTTTTAATATGTAATAGAGTCATTTTTCCCAAACTGTTGAGCACATAGTTGCAGGGTGATTTTTTTTTCCCCCTCAAACCATGCTTACAGATACTGAAGTAGAGGATGCTATCGCTATTGGGCCTGCAAAATATTTCTTCAGCTCCTGCTATATACAAAATCCTGTGTTTCCTCTATATAGGTATCTCTCTGAGTAAGTGGCATAGGGTTTGACAAGTGATGTATCTAATATACTGGGAAAACAACAGGGAAGATGAGTTATATGTAAGTGGGAGTGATCAGATATGGTTTATAGCTTTTGTCCAGGAGTCCAGTCTGGTTAGCACCCTCTTTCAGAAGCATCCTGGTTTGCGTGCTTAATTATATGATCACCCTAGTTATAGGCAGGGTAACCGTATCTGCCTGTTTTCCTGGGACAGTCTTGTCTTATACTCCTTACCATGATGGGATGATAAATTATATAGTACTCTATGATGGGTTATCTTAATTAGAATTTTTCCTCTGGTTTACAACATTAAACAGAGGCTGCGTTGTGAAATGCTTCAGCTTGAGATAGAATTTAACACATAAAACATCTAAGCATAAGAGAAAACAATTGAATCAAAGAACAGAGCTGAAAACATGATAAATTAAAAACACCGTGGGGACTCCTACAATAGGAAGTTTAATCAGATTTGAAAGTTGGGATCTAGTATTTCTGAGAGCCAACACTAAAATTCAGACTGTTTAAATCTAGCTGACATTGGGGCGCCTGGGTGGCTCAGTCGTTAAGTATCTGCCTTTGGCTCAGGTCGTGATCCCGGGGTCCTGGGATCGAGCCCGGCATTGGGCTCCCCGCTCCGCAGGAAGCCTGCTTCTCTCTCTCCCATTCCCCCTGCTTGTGTTCCCTCTCTCACTGTGTCTCTCTCTGTCAAATAAATAAATAAAATCTTTTAAAAATAAATCTAGCTGACATTTATATTAAATGCATGGCAATATGCAAGCTAAATGGAGATTGATAATTTTTTATAACCTTTTACTCAATAATTCCATCTCCTCTGTCTTTTATCCAGGTTCCTTTATGACTTGGATATTTAGAATTTTCACAAAATCCATAAAATATTTATGGTATCAGTGTCCAGTATTTTATGTTGTGTACTTTATTTGCTATCTCTGGAGAGATTCAGGCAGTTTAATTACCATCTGTTACAGGTACATTAGAAGAAGAAGAAAACTGTCTTCTTTTTTTCTTCAACCTTAAAGTAGTTTCTCTTGTGAGTAACCTTAATAAAATTATCCACAAGAGATGCACAGAGAATGATAAACAAGGCCTTCTGTTGTTTAAATTGTGAGGGATCTGGGGAGAAACTGTCAGGAGAAACAAATAACCAAACTTTGTATTTCAATTCTTTTGCAGCAATTAAAACACCCAAACCTTGTGAACCTCATTGAGGTGTTCAGGAGAAAAAGGAAAATGCATTTAGTTTTTGAATACTGTGATCACACACTTTTAAATGAACTGGAAAGAAACCCCAAAGGGTAAGTAATCTGGAAACTGAGGCTCTATGTGGCCATTCAGTTTCATTATATGTGGGATTAACTGTGGCAAATTTCAGATCTGAAACACACTCCTCTTTCTGCCAAGATGCATCTGCTGGCTACCCCTCTCCCATCTTAGTTAGGATGTGCTCAGAGGAAAATAAATATTAACCTAGAGTAAAAATATTTAGGAAGACAAATCAACTGCAAATATAAATCACAGTGCATTTCAAGGCTAACTTATGTACAGGCAAACGTTGAAGATATTGCAGATTGGCTCCAGATCACTGCAATAAAGCAAATATTGTAATAAAGTGAGTCAAATGAATTTTTTGGTTTCCTAGTACATATAAAAGGTATGTTTACACTATATTGTAGTCTATTAAGTATATGACAGCATTATGTCTAAAAAACAATTGTACATACCTTAATTTTAAAATATCATATTGCTTTAAAAATACTATCACCTGAACTTTCAGCAAGTCATAATTGCTGATTGCAGATCAGCATAAAATATAATAATAATGAAAAAGTTTGAAATATGAGAATTACCAAACACAGAGACTCAGGTGAGCAAATGCTATCGGAAAAATGGCACAAGTAGACTTGCTCTACATGGGGTTCCCACAGACTTCCAATTTGTAAAAAACACAATGTCTGTGAAATGTAAAGCAAAGCACAATAAAGTGAAGGACAATAAAATGAGGTATGCCCTCTGAATTCAAGGAATGAACCATGGTTCAATATTAGAATTCATAAAATTCACTAACAGGTTAAAGGAGAAAAAAAAATACATGTGGTTGATAAAATTTGCAAAGGCAGTTGATAATTCAAGGTCCTTTCCTGGTTATTAAAAAAAAAAACCTTAGCAAACTAGGATTCAGATACCTCTGTAACACACGCACGTGCACACACACACACACACACACCCCTCTTCAAATCAACAGCTAACTTTATCCTCCATGCTAGAGGAACCACTGTTAAAATGAGAAACAAGGAAGTCAGTTGTCACCACTATAATGTAACATTGTTCTGAGAGCTCTAGCCAATGTAAACAAATAGAATGTATAACTTTGGAAGCAAGATTAAATCATCTTTATCTGGATGATAATATTCTACAAAATCTGAGAGAATTGCCTAAAGAGTCATTATAACCAGTGGAATTCAGTATAATGACTACAGCCCTCCGAACTCCACACACAAAAATTAACAGCTCTTGTATCAGTCAGCACTCTAGAAAATCTAGTGGAGAGGATCTCATTCAAATACCAACAACAAAAAAGTTTAGAATTAAAGATAAAAAGAATTGTTCAGACTCTACATAAAGACAACTTACAAAACTTAACTGAGGTACATAAATGATTTTTTTAAATGAACATATATTTCTGAATGGAAATATTCATTATTATAAAGATACTTCTCCCCCAATTTATTTATTTATTGCACAAAAATCTAATCAGAATGCCAATGGGATTTTAACTTGAAAATCAAGTTATCTAAATCAATAAATTTTTTTAAAAGAAGAAAAGGGACTTTAACTGCCAAATATTAAATCAATTAGTTTTAGAGATTCCCTTTGACAAAAAGTACCATAAACAAAACTAAAAAAGAAGTGGCAAGTTAGGTAATTTGTTTGGCAGATGAAGAATTAATATCATTTCATTTGCAGATTTTACAAATCAAATGTTTTGAAAGATTAACACCCAGTTAGAAAATATATTCATTTGGGGCGCCTGGGTGGCTCAGTCGTTAAGTGTCTGCCTTCGGCTCGGGTCATGATCCCAGGGTCCTGGGATCGAGCCCCACATCGGGCTCCCTGCTCAGTGGGAAGCCTGCTTCTCCCTCTCCCTCTGCTTGTGTTCCCTCTCTCGCTGTGTCTCTCTCTGTCAAATAAATAAATACAGTCTTTTAAAAAAAAAAGAAAGAGGGCACCTGGGTGGCTCAGTTGGTTAAGCGACTGCCTTCGGCTCAGGTCATGATCCTGGAGTCCCGGGATCGAGTCCCACATTGGGCTCCCTGCTCAGCAGAGAGTCTGCTTCTCCCTCTGACCCTCTTCCCTCTCGTGCTCTCTATCTCTCATTCTCTCTCTCTCAAATAAATAAATAAAATCTTTAAAAAAAAGAAAGAAAGAAAATATATTCATTCAAAAATACTTGAGTAGAATCCTACTGTTGTTCCAGCTAGGTGCTAAGGATATAGCAGTAAACAGAACATACAAAAAAGTTGCCTAACTTTATATAACTTACATGCAATTCCTACATGTAAAAGCAAATCATGAAAAAGAGGGAGGAAATGACAAATACACCTCGGAGAATATGTTTATCCTCCCTATCAATCAGAAAAATTAAAAAATTTAAGGTATCATTTCTTGCCGATCAAATTGGCAAAGAATTTTAAAAAACCAAAATGCCTAGCATTGTTAAAGTCGGGAATCAGGCACCCTCATTCATAGCTGGAGAGAGTATATAATTAGAATGGAAATTTAGCAGTATGTATGAAAATTCTTTAAGTGGTTTTAATCCTTTGACCAAGACATTCCATTTAGAGAAATTTATAATAGGTGCAAAAAGTTATACATAAGTGTTCAACACATCATTTACAACAACAAAAAATTGGGACTGACCTAATTTTCCAATAGTAAAGATTTGACTCAATGCACTTTGCTATATGCATATGATGGAACACTATGTATCCAACCCATTAAAAAGGAAGCTGTAGAATAATTCATGCCCTGGGGACATGTTCATGAAATGGTATGTGAAAAAAATGAAGTTAGAAAGTAGAATGTTCAGTGTAATTGAAATTTATTTTGAATTTGTCCCAATATCCCAGCAAATGCACATATTTTACTTTTACAATAAAAATTTAAAAACCAGTTTACATGATAAATTAATTCATAGTTCAACTTTATTATGAGTTAAATAAGATTTGTATTGGCTTAGAGGACAGATTGTTCAGCCATCCTGTAAGTTAATTTATAAATTAATGTACATTTTCATAAAGTTAGAAATGTAAACTTCATGTATTATTCAAGGCCCTGAAAATAAAACATACAATACATACAATACACATACCTGTTTAGTTGAACTAACCATCTTTCTCTTCTCTCTATGTACCATAAGCCTTCCTGCTTGTGGAACTTAGCTGATAGTCTTCCTTTAACCTGGAATATTCTAACTTATTCCATTTTCCCTATCTCTATCAGCATCTTGACAATGGGAAATCCTAGGGGTACCTGGCTGGCTTAGGTGGAAGAGCGTGTGACTCTTGATCTGGGGGTTGTAAGTTTGAGCCCCATGTTGGGTGTAGAGATTACTTAAAAATCTTTAGGGGCACCTGGGTGGCTCAGTCGTTAAGCATCTGCTTTCGGCTCAGGTCATGATCCCGGGGTTCTGGGATCGAGCCCCTCGTTGGGCTCCCTGCTCTGCGGGAAGCCTGCTCCTCCCTCTCCCATTCCCCCTGCTTGTGTTCCCTCTCTCGCTGTGTCTCTGTCAATAAACAAATAAATTCTTTAAAAAAATAAAATCTTTTAAAAATAAATAAAATGGGAAATCCTAGATATTCTCAACATCTCAGAGATTCCTCCACCTGGGTGGAATTGCTTCCCTCCTTTGCATAGCCACAGAGTTTGATTTTTTTAAATTTTTGTTATGTTAATCACCATACATTACATCATTAGTTTTTAATGTAGTGTTCCATGATTCATTGTTTGTGCATAATACCCAGTGCTCCATGCAGAACGTGCCCTCTTTAATACCCATCACCAGGCTAACCCATCCTCCCACCTCCCTCCCCCACAGAGTTTGATTTTTATCCTTGTTATGGTACTTGGTACTTCTGCCTTATGTGTTTTTATGTGCATTCTCTCTCTTACTGGGTTGTATTTTGAGTGCAGAATTCATATCTAATTCATCTTAATAACTTCCTCAGTGTACAGCATTCTTTCATTCACTTCAGGAGTATTTTATTGAGTACTTCTGCTGGTGCAGAGGGTACAAAGATATAGTGGCACAATCCTGCCTTCAAGAAGCTTAAAATCGAATGAAGAGACATTCAGAGTAGCAGTTACAAATGGCAATGCTGATTGGGTTAATGTTGGTACAACTGCAAGATCTGCCAGTCCCGGAGAATCAGGGAAGTATCTGCAGAGAAGGAAGGGTTTAGGCTGAGACTTTACAAAGGGAAGCGTTGGCCAGATGGACAGTCTTGGAGGAATGTGCAGAAAGAAGGAGCAAAGCATATACAGGCAACCTCTCATTCAGTATGTATTTAGCAACCACAAGGATATCTCTAAGTTTCTCGTTTTTTTTTTTTTTTTAAGTAATCCCTATACCCAATATGGGGCTCAAACTCATGACCCTGAGATCGAGTCTCACACTCTTCCAACTGAGCTAGCCAGGCATCCCCACAGGGATCACTGAACTACCTACTTTCCACTCTTTTAAGTCTTATAAGTGTATGTAGCAATGCCAGTGTATACACGTGCTTTGGGTCCACCCTGAGACTTGGATCTACATAGGGGAATGCAACTAGGAACAGTGCAAAACACGCCAGTCTTTTTATGAAATGCTGGGTACTTCCACATAACAGTGATTAATTTAAAGCATCCATCTACCTTCACTCCCTTCCTAAAACCTACTTAAATAACAGCCAAGAGAATGTAAAACCAGCGAATAGCAAACAGAGGTAAACAACCAGACCGCATACATACCAACCCTATTTGAGCCATTGTTTATTAGGGTAAATTCACAGTTTGGGGAATTAACTGGTGTGTGGATATGAGGCAATCAACAGAGGGGACATGTGGGATGAGCTGTGGGATGGTGAGCTGATGATCAAGAGACCCGAGTACTAACTTATATCATTAAGAAGAGCTGACTTCACACTAAGATGGTGAAAGTGTACTGCTTCCTCTGCCAAATGAAGCCTTTGATGTCCTCTACTTTTTGGATAGAGAAAACACTTGTTAGATCAATAGCTGCATCAATACTAAGTACTGA